AAGCTTATTACCTGACACTAAGGGAGGAGAGATATAGGGTGAAGGGTGAGAGCAGAGTGATAGTGTCTTTGGTCTAATATATTATGAGGTGAGACCTGTGAACTAAGTTGGCTGCTGGAGGCTGTCACCCGTCACTCACTACTGCAGCAGGTCTCCCTTCGTACGCGAGACGTTGTCACCACCTAAAGGGACCCCGAGTTACTTGTTCAGAAGTAACTTAGCCTCAATTCAAGCATGAGATTGATTAAAAGTAGGGCAGGGAGCGGCGCCCCTGGTCCAGGGGAACGTTAGGGGGACATACCTTGGCAGGGGAGGCAGGGGGGCTGTGCCCCTGGTCCAGGACAGAGCCAGGGGGGCGTCACCGTGCGCCTCACAGCTGAGTGTCGCTGTTCCTCCAACCTTCACCTGTTGACGCTGACTCCTGACGGCGAACCAGGGCGGCTCTGACGCACAAGACGGTGATATTAACATCTTGAGACAAACATTTGTTAGTTTGTTTAGTTTATGTTATAAATATTACTGACTAAACTCTGTTATTGCCAACTGTTGCTCACTGTTATCATTTGTTACTCACCGTCACCCTCTGTTACTCACCGTTACTCTGTTACTCACCGTTACTCTGTTACTCACCGTTAACGCTGAGAGTGACCACCTTGGACAGGCCAGCACCCACACCGTTGTTCGCCTCACACAAGAAGCGACCTTCGTGGCGTCTCTCAGCGCGACTCACAGACAGCGTCCCGTTGTCCCAGCCGGCCACCCCGCCCTCACCTGTGGCCACGCCCACGAACTGTCCTGACACTGTTGGTACGAGGGCGTGGGCGTTATTTACTGCTACTACCACTACTACTTCTACTACTACTACTGGTACTTATTACTTAACCCCTTGAGTACAATGATTTAAACCCTTGAGTACGATGACTTGGCCCCTTGAGTACGATGACTTTGTATTTCTGGGGTAAGGTCATCGTACTCAATGACTTATCGTACTGAAGGTGTTATGCTATCGTCTCCTAAGGGTTAAATCATCGTACTCAAAGGTGTTAAATCATCGTACTCAAAGGGGTTAAATCATCGTACTCAAAGGTGTTAAATCATCGTACTCAAAGGGGTTAAATCATCATTCTCAAGGGGTTAAATCATCATACTCAAAGGGTTAAATCATCATACTCAAGGGGTTAAATCATCATACTCAAAGGGTTAAATCATCATACTCAAGGGGTTAAATCATCATACTCCAGGGGTTAAATCATCATACTCAAGGGGTTAAATCATCATACTCAAAGGGTTAAATCATCATACTCAAGGGGTTAAATCATCATACTCAAAGGGGTTAAATCATCATACTCAAAGGGTTAAATCATCATACTCAAGGGGTTAAATCATCATACTCAAAGGGTTAACACTACATATCAAAGCGAGGCTGAAGTGAATCCCACGATACAGAGAATTACCAAAACAAACATTACTAATTATTGATGAAATGAGGATAGTTTTGGTGATAGTGAATAAATAAGACGATAGGAGGATAGGTGACTGTTGATATGACCTATCCTTCATCCTATAGCTAACTGATGTAGTATAATGATGTATATATGTAGTGTATAATGGTGTAGAGGTGTAGTGTATATTATGTGGTGTATATATATGTAGTTTATATAGAGGAATGTATATAGTGTTACTGTATATAAATGTTCAGTATATCGTTAAATATAGACCTGAAAATATATACTCTATTCATGTGTAATGTTTATATCACTACCGTATACATCTGGAGTGTGTATACATGTTTACATTTTGATAGATAAAGGCATCTATATACATTTTTCCTCCCAGCTCAGGTAAGTGCTTGGTAAACTAGGAAGAGTTAATGAATAATATTAGCATGTATTAAGAAAGTGAGATTAAAACTGGCTTTCAATATCCAGACCTCCGCCCTACCACCTGGAGTTATACCTTGAATCTTCTAGTTATTCCTTAAGTTGGGTTTTGGTAACTTGTGATTGTTTTACTGACTTGACTGATGGTGTTATGAGGGGGTTTTGTGTTTGATTATTTTTAAGATTGTCTGTCTGTCTGTCTGTCTGTCTGTCTTTCTGTCTGTCTGTCTGTCTGTCTGTCTGTCTGTCTGTCTGTCTTTTTCTCCCTATTGTTCTTCTTCAGCCCAACAGATTCTCTCTCTCTCTCTCTGTCTCTCTCTCTCTCTCTTCCATCCTCTCACTGGAGGCTCAACACCTCCCCCTCCCCCACTGGTATGATTCACTGCGTCTTTGAACAATTATTTCCACCATCTATCTCCTGGAGTCTGAGTTATGGCTGCCGTGAAGATGAACTTTCACCATTTTTAAGTTTCGTTTCTCCACTTCTTTCCATTTGGATTGTGTTTATTTATCGTATTTCTCCTTTATTTAGGCCATTTATCGATTTCCTTATTTCAGCTATTTATCGTGCTTCTCCTTTATTTAAAGCCGCTTATCGGCTCTTTATTTGCTTATTTATCGTATTTCTCCTTTATTTGTGTTTATTTATCGTATTTCTCCTTTATTTGTGTTTATTTATCATATTTCTCCTTTATTTGTGTTTATTTATCGTATTTCTCCTTTATTTGTGTTTATTTATCGTATTTCTCCTTTATTTGTGTTTATTTATCGTATTTCTCCTTTATTTGTGTTTAGTTAGTCTCTCTTAATCTCTCTTCAGTAATTGTGTTTATATACCTGTTCTACCTGCACTAATATACGTCATTATAAACATTACCTTAATATAAATACAATATGCTAGTTAAAGGTGCACTAATACACCTTAATACAATATGCTAGTGAAAGGTGCACTAATACACCTTAATACAATATGCTAGTGAAAGGTGCACTAATACACCTTAATACAATATGCTAGTTAAAGGTGCACTAATACACCTTAATACAATATTCTAGTTAAAGGTGCACTAATTAATACACCTTAATACAATATGCTAGTTAAAGGTGCACTAATTAATACACCTTAATGCAATATACCTGTTAAATCTGGGCCTCTATAGACGCCATAATAATTGAGGTTGTTAAGTAGTTCAGTATAACTATTACCTGGTTAACGAGCGCCATTATACCGCACCATAACGATCACAGGTGACACTCATTATTACCCACAGGTGAGACCAGCCTTACACCTGACCCACAAGAGGTGAACAAAAATAATCCACGCGTTTCCGGGTATAGTGTACGTTGATTGGTTCTCTCTTAAACATGACGTCATTATTGGGTTAAATTTGTGTTAGGTTAGATTAGGTTAGGTTAGGTTAGTTTAGTTTAGGTTGAGAAACATTAAATTTCCATAAACCGAGTCATGACCAATCAGAGACTACCTTTACGAAAGAAGAACCAATCACCTCACGCCATACCCGCAAACACGTGTACTCTACCCAAATCGTGGCTGGGATTATTTAAATGAGTTGGAAATAGATTACGCAAATCAGGGTGGAGCAAACCTTAGGCAAATGGCCGCGTAGGGTCGTTATTACTGCCATTGAAGACTTATAATGACCTAATTATTGCAGCAGTGGTATTGACTACAGGTATACAGGGCTACAGTGGATGTGGGAGGGGGGGGAGAGGAGAGAGAGGATGGGAGAGAGAGAGAGAGGGAGGAAGAGTCAGATGGGGAGGTACCACAACAACACAGGTGAACAACACCGGTGAACAACACAGGTGAACAACACAGGTGAACAACACAGTAGACTCACCTGTCTCTTTGCGCCAGGCGACGGTGGGGTTGGGGAAGCCCTTTGCCAGGCAGTGGAGTGCCACGCTGCCTCCAAGAGCCACGCTGGCACTGGTAGGCTCCACCACCCAAGTGGGAGGCACTGTGGGGGGTCAGGCCCAGGGGGGAGGGGGCAACAGGTCAATACCCAGTATGTATTACGTTATCACTATCTAACATATATTGTCACATTATTAAACATTAACAAACTTGGAAGACAAATTACTGGACAATTATTGTTATCATTATTAAACTGTAATGTAAATATATCAAAAGTCTGACCAAAACATCACTTACTCCCAAACATTATTATTGTTAACAAACATGTAATTGAAGATGACACGACCTTTGTTAACACAGGCGGGTTAACAACACACTATAGTTATCAACAACAACAGATTAAGTAAAAGAAGTTGAGGTGGTAGAGTTTGTGTGTGTGTGTGTGTGTGTGTGTGTGTGTGTACTGTATATATGTATGAATATGTAAGTATCTGTGTATGTATGTATGTGTGTGTGTGTGTGTGTGTGTGTGTGTGTAGACGAGTTTTGTGTGTAAAAGGAAAGTAGCAGAGAAGATGTGTCACTCAGGACACATAGTGTGTCAAGTGTCTCTCAGTACCCAGTGTCCGATTTGTCTCACTGGTATCAAGTTTGTCTCACAGTGTCAGGTTGTCTGCCTGGTGTCAGGTTGTCTCACACAGTGTCAGGTTGTCTCACACAGTGTCAGGTTGTCTCACACAGTGTCAGGTTGTCTCACACAGTGTCAGGTTGTCTCACACAGTGTCAGGTTGTCTCACACAGTGTCAGGTTGTCTCACACAGTGTCAGGTTGTCTCACACAGTGTCAGGTTGTCTCACACAGTGTCAGGTTGTCTCACACAGTGTCAGGTTGTCTCACTACTCAGCCTCTGATACACTTCAGCCTCTCAGGGGCGGAGGAAAGTGATCTCAACATCAGGAGGATTTGTTTACATGGTTTGTGACGTCACAGAATCTCACTGATTGATTTGAATGATGACTCATGACGTCGAACGCTCACGCTGATTGGCCGATAAGGGATACATGAAGTAGAAGATTCCTGCTGATAGGCCGAATTGTGGCCAGTGAAATTGAAACTTCAAGATGATTGGCTGCGTAAGTGAGAATTCGACTAATCATGAGGTCTTCTCTGTGATGTAAACAGGACCAACGTCCTGACGAAGAGAACACGTACCACGGCCCCCATCGCCTTCGTCATGAGATATAAGTCAGTCAACATCAACACATTATGTTGGGTCATCGTCAGTGACGCAGCATAGTCGAGGTCATAATTGGGTTGAAGGAAGAGGTGAGGGGACGTGGCAGTCAGGTCATGTGAGGTGAAGGTACAACAAGACCAGTCCTCCAGCTGGTGAGGCCTGCGTCCTCTTGCTCCCCTGCAGTATCCCTCCCTGATAGTTAGTCTGATAGTCGTGCCACAGTGGGCGTGAGACGTGAGCGGTGTCCCTCCCTCTTATGTCTGATAGTCATGCGAGAGTGGGCGTGAGACCGTGGGCGGCCTACCGCTGACGGTCAGACGGGCGGTGGTGGTGATGGTGCGGGCGGCGTTGGTGGCGGCGCAGGTGTAGTTGCCGGAATGGGCAGCCGTGGCACTGTCGATCACCAACATGGAGGTGAAGGGGTCTAGCTGGGAGGTGCGGACGTCGAGTGTGGGGTCGAGGGGGACGCCATCCTTGAGCCAGGACTGGGCCAGGGGCTGGTCCCCCTCCTGCACCAAACAGGTGGCCTGGGCCCTCATCCCTGCCCGGGTCCCCACCGCGAAGCTGAAGGGCGCCAGGCGGGGCGGCACTGCAACACACACACTCACACTCACACACACAGCAGGGAGAGACCTGACATCTGTGAATTACATTGTTGGTACAAGACCACGCACGAGGGTTCGTCTGGCTGCCCCCAGGTGGTGGTAATGGTGCGGGGCAGCCGGAGCCTCGCTACTACACACAGAGGAAAGAAGGCGCTCGACAGCCGAGGTAAAGAAGGACATTAGGATGGGAAGAAGAAGGAAGAGGAGGAAGGAAGAGTCAGCAGGAGGAAGAACAGTCGCGGTAAGTACTGTACAGTAGGTTGGCCACACGTCAAAGGTATTCTCTCTGACAACAACATAAACAAAACAGTCGCGTCAAATTTACTCTGGAAAAAAGTAGAGAGAAGAAGCGTAGGTCTATGTGGGTGGTGGTGGTGACGCCCGTGGTGCAGCTCCGAGGTGTAGGGCGGGCGTGGGCGTACCATTGACGGCGAGGTCGGCGGAGTGGGTGGCCTCGGCCCAGTGGTTGGAGGCCCGGCAGGTGTACTGGCCGGTGTGGAGAGCAGTGAGGCGGTTGATCATGAGAGTGTTAGAGAACTGGTTGATGGTGGACACAGTGACGCCCTCCACCTCCTCGATGGGCCGCCCGTCCTTCTCCCAGGTGAAGGTGATGGGCGGGTCTCCCTTGCTCACTATACACGCCGCCCCCGCCCGCTCCCCAGCCTCTAACTTGTCCTCAAAGTGGAAAGGCTGAACATCCGGGGCCACTGTAACACACCACCATCAGCCCCGCTGTCTGCTGCTGCTGCTGCTGCTGTCTGCCTGTCTGCTGCTGCCTGCCTGTCTGCTGCCTGACTATTGCCTATCTGGTTACTATCTGCCTGCTACTGCTGTCTGCCTTTCTGCTGCCCGATTAATGCTTGTCTGCGGCCTGACTACTTCCTGTCTACTTATTGCCTGTCTGCTTACTGTGTCTCTGCTTACTAGGCATCTGCTGAGTGACCTAACCTATCGGTGAAGGTGTAAATGAGTGACATGAACCTAAGGGCACTTTATGGACAGTATGGCTACAACACACAGTATACTAAATGTGGCTGACACTGTACCCGATCACCTTCATTTCCCCAATTGTAAAGTTAGGTACCCATTTACAGCTGGGTGAACTGAGAGTGCCCCGAGGATCGAACCAGTGAGCTTTAGGACAGGAGGCGAGTGGTTTATTTTCCTTCCTATATAAAAATGACCTAACTTAACTGATTTGGTAGTTGATAATGTGATAATTTCTAATACTTAAGTTTACCCTTAACTTGGTTCCGTTTTCTATTGAATCTTCCATCGCTTAACCTCTTCAGTACTTGAGTGTGATGACTTAACCCCATTAGTGCTTGCGTATGATGACTTAACCCCATTAGTGCTTGAGTATGATGACTTAACCCCATTAGTGCTTGAGTGTGATGACTTAACCCCATTAGTGCTTGAGTATGATGACTTAACCCCATTAGTGCTTGAGTATGATGACTTAACCCCATTAGTGCTTGAGTATGATGACTTAACCCCTTTAGTACAAGGGAGTTACTGTAATGAAAGGATTAAGTTATTGTACTCAATGGTTTAGGATATCATACTGAGAGGGTTAAAACTCTTCTCTTAATAACAAGTAAATATATCGCCTCCTATTTTAATGAAAGAAATTTATTAGACTACAAAGACATAAAAAATATCTCACATAATATAATAGAATAAATAAAATAATAACAACAGAGAGGAAAAAATCATGGCTCAGAAACTCTTTAAGATTCGTAAGTGGAAAAATATTCTCCCTTAAGTGGTAACAGTATCTACGTGGTTCACTTAAGCTATGGCATAAAGACGATAGAATGGTGACGAAATTACTCTGATAATTTTAAACTTTCATTAATTTTTTTTATTATGTTAATAGTTAGAAGTATATGGAGTAATTTTGCTAAAACTTTATTAAATTTGTTTTTTATTTGTTATTTATAGTTTGTTTATATTTTACGTTGATAGAAAGTTATTAATGTTTGTAGCTACACACGGGCTTTATATATACGCCTTTATTTATGGGGGAAACATTTACGTACGAATCTTAGAGAAACGAGATGGTGATGTTTTAATAGTGAATACTGATACAGGTAGCTAAGGGCCACAGGTAGCTGAGGGCCACAGATAGCTGAGGGCCACAGGTAAGGCTAGTACTGTATAATGCCTGAGGCCAACAAGGGCCACAGGTAGTTGAAATTTAGGTAGCTGAGGGCCACAGGTATGGGGCCACAGGTAGCTGAGGGCCTACCAGTGCAGCTGAGGGGCCACAGGTGGCTGAGGGCCTGAGCCAGCTTGAGGGGCCTGGTGGCTGAGGGGCCACCAGGTAGCTGAGGGCACAGGTAAAGGCTAGTACTGTGTAATGCCTGAGGCCTTACCTTGGGCAGGAGACCCCTGGTATCCCCAGGATTTAGTAGCCCCAGGACTCACCCATAAGCAGACAGATGATGGGTGTCCTTCTCTCCCCAGCCCCTCGGACTCCAGGACTCCCCCCCCCCAGGACTCACCCATAACACGGACGGAGAGATCCTGTGTGTCGGTAAGGCCCTGCCTGGTGGAGGCGGTGCAGGAGTACAGGCCGTCGTCAGTTGTGCGAGTCACTTGTTCCACCACAAGAGTCCCGTTGGCGTGAACCCTTTGTCGGTGACTAGTGGGCAGCCTGACACCATCTGTGTACGGTGACACCAGCTGGTTATTGTGTACACACACACACACACACACACACACACACACACACACACACACACACACACACACTAGTGGGCAGCCTGACACCATCTGTGTGCAGTGACACCAGCTGGTTGTGTGTACACACACACACACACACACACACACACACACACACACACACACACACACACACACTTCAACAGAGGATAAACATGTCACTTTATTATTACATTAATTGTCAAAAAGTAACTTAGAAGAACTGTTATAAAATATGAAACTTCAAGCTGTTAATAAAGTGAAAAGTTTGTAAATATTAAACTTATTTGTTTCTAAAATCACTAATTATTTTGTTATTATGTGTTGTTATTTCCAGGTTATATTAAGGATAACTCACCTTTCTTCCAGGTTATGTTATGGATGGGGTAGCCAGACACGGGGCAGCTGACGATGAAGGTCTCCCCCGCCACGGCTGACATCTGCCCCATGGGGCGCACGTGAGGGGGGCCGTACACGTTGAGGCGTGCACGGTGCACCTCGCTGCCTGCGCTGTTCTCCGCCGAGCACGTGTAAGTTCCTCCGTCAGTCACGTGCACCGAGCTGATGTTGACGTGACTGATGACGTCACCGTGTGCTGACACGTACTGCCCTTTAACGTACCTGTAACACCGTGTTATGTTATGACGTAAGTACCTGTAACACCGTGTTATGTTATGACGTAAGTACCTGTAACACCGTGTTATGTTATGACCTAAGTACCTGTAACACCGTGTTATGTTATGACCTAAGTACCTGTAACACCGTGTTATGTTATGACGTAAGTACCTGTAACACCGTGTTATGTTATGACGTAAGTACCTGTAACACCGTGTTATGTTATGACCTAAGTACCTGTAACACCGTGTTATGTTATGACCTAAGTACCTGTAACACCGTGTTATGTTATGACCTAAGTACCTGTAACACCGTGTTATGTTATGACCTAAGTACCTGTAACACCGTGTTATGTTATGACGTAAGTACCTGTAACACCGTGTTATGTTATGACCTAAGTACCTGTAACACCGTGTTATGTTATGACGTAAGTACCTGTAACACCGTGTTATGTTATGACGTAAGTACCTGTAACACCGTGTTATGTTATGACGTAAGTACCTGTAACACCGTGTTATGTTATGACGTAAGTACCTGTAACACCGTGTTACATGTTATGACAATAGTACTAGCAACACCGTGTTATGTTATGACGTAAGTACCTGTAACACAATGTTATGTTATAGCCTAAAGTACCTGTAACACCGTGTTATATTTATGACCTAAGTACCTGTAACACGTGTTATATTATGACCCCTAAGTACCTGTAACACCGTGTTATGTTATGACCTAAGTACCTGTAACACCGTGTTATGTTATGACCTAAGTACCTGTAACACCGTGTTATGTTATGACCTAAGTACCTGTAACACCGTGTTATGTTATGACCTAAGTACCTGTAACACCGTATTATGTTATGACGTAAGTACCTGTAACACCGTGTTATGTTATGACCTAAGTACCTGTAACACCGTGTTATATTATGCTATGACCTGTGGTGTAATGGTCAGCATGCTCGTCTTGCAAGTGAGTGGACTCGGGTTCAACCCCCGGGCAGGGTGAAACTATGGGCAAGTTTCTTTACGCCATTTGCCTCCGTCTACCCAGCAGTAATTGGGAACCTGGATGTTAATCGATTTACGGGTAATGGTTAGCCAGTGCAGTTGGCGAGTTGTCCGGTCTTCCCGGACTATTCCTTGACACTGGGTCATGCAGCTCGTTAACTTAGGGTGTGGTTGTTGTGTTGGCGACAGCTTCTACACCTTAAACACTGGGTCATGCAGCTCGTTAACTCAGGGTGTGGTTGTTGTGTTGGCTACAGCTTCTACACCTTAAACACTGGGTCATGCAGCTCGTTAACTCAGGGTATTGGTTGTTGTGTTGACAGCTTCTACCTTAAACACTGGGTCATGCAGCTCGTTAACTCAGGGTGTGATTTTGTTGTGTTGGCGACAACTTCTACCTTAAACACTGGGTCATACAGCTCGTTAACTCAGGGTGTGGTTGTTGTGTTGGCGACAGCTTCTACACCTTAAACACTGGGTCATACAGCTCGTTAACTCAGGGTGTGGTTGTTGTGTTGGGGACAGCTTCTACACCTTAAACACTGGGTCATACAGCTCGTTAACTTAGGGTGTGATTATAGTGTTGGTGACAGCTTCTACACCTTAAACACTGGGTCATACAGCTCGTTAACTTAGGGTGTAGTTGTTGTGTTGGTGACAGCTTCTACACCTGAAACACTGGGTCATACAGCTCGTTAACTCAGGGAGTGTGGTTGTTGTGTTGGCTACAGCTTCTACACCTTAAACACTGGGTCATGCAGCTCGTTAACTCAGGGTGTGGTTGTTGTGTTGGCGACGGCTTCTACACCTTAAACACTGGGTCATGCAGCTCGATAACTCAGGGTGTGGTTGTTGTGTTGGCGACAGCTTCTACACCTTAAACACTGGGTCACGCAACTCGTTAACTCAGGGTGTGGATGTTGTGTTGGCGACAGCTTCTACACCTTTAAATCACGCCTGGCCCTAGGGCAGGCCATCCTAGTTACACGAGGGGCAACCATTATTATTATTATAACACAAGGAACTACTGTGACGTCGGCCAGGAGGTGTTTTAATGTCTTCCTGATCTTCTTCCTCTCCCTCACCTCTCCTTCATCATTATCTCCTCCTCCTCCTCTTCCCGTCCCTCCTCCCGCTGCCTCAACATGACTAGTTGTGCAAGGTTGTCAACAAGTTTCTGTGTCTTTGGTCTTAGTTGGTACGTGTGTGTGTACGTGTGTGTGTACGTGTGTGTGTACGCGTGTGTGTGTGTACGTGTGTGTGTGTGTGTGTGATACTCTCCTCAACACATCTAAGGGAGTACGAACACAATTCTCGAATACGTGATAAATCCTCGAACCACCTCACCCCCTCCAGCTGCCGTTAAGGGGACATAAATCTCCCCCATTAAGCTTCAAGGCAATCAGTCCACCCATTTATGACCAATTACGTGAGATAATGACAGCGAGCTGCTTCATTATAGTCTGTGAAGTATTATTATTATTATATTTCCACATACATATAACAACCTTGTGTTTATTCTTTGTATAAATAACAAGAAAATCATAAAAGTCTGGAGTTTCTCACACACAAAAAAATTCGTCGAAAATAACCTTACATAGAGAGGGGGTCGGAGCTGCACCAATGGCGAGGCTCGACATAATCACGTGATCACTGAATGTAAACAATGATCCACCAATCATCTCCCAGCACCTTTTATGCCCCGCCCATTAAAGCGTTACCCCTCTACTGAAAATCAGGAATTAGGTATTTTTATCCATATTCCTGGGTCATATTCGCCTCTAATATGGTGGAGCAGTGTGGGTGTGAACTCCTAATTACCAGACTCTTGTTGTTTCGTGTCCTTGTGGATAGATTACATGATAATTTAAGCAATGTATTATGTTCTCTCTCTCTCTCTCTCTCTCTCTCTCTCTCTCTCTCACGCCAACTCGAATATATCAAATGTTCTGCGTTGAACACTGAGAAATTTCGCATGAAGAACAGAATATCGTATGTTCTTCTGTGCAGTGAGATTACCGTCAGAACAGAACACGTAGAACAAGAGGAAGAACAAAGATGATCAATGATTCAGAGGATGAGACGTGGGGCTCAGAAGAACATGAAGAACAGACCATGAAGAACAAGTCAGATCACTGAATATAGAACACACAGATATCTCTTATGGTGTTCATAGCTTCAGTTATTCACATCACGGAGAATACCATGAAGAACAAGAAGAACAAATATTCATAAAATGAAGTGAAGAACCAGCACACTAGAGAACAAAATATGAATAACAAAAACAACATGAAATAGAATAATCATATTTAAAAAAACAAACACTAACCATAACAGAACAAAGAACAAAGAACAAACACAACAGCACCTAATAACATAACTCACTTAACCACTTAAAAATCCTACCCCTCCACCCTAGAAGAACACTTAACCTAGAAGAACAGAGAACAGAAATGAAGAACAGGAAGAACAAGAGGATTAAGTATTCAGTGCAGGAGGTAAGGGCCCACAGCACACACCATCAATAACAGGCGGTGTGGTCGTTGGGAAGCGGTGGGGGCTATCTGCTTCTACTCA